CCGGGGAAAATCGCATAGATTCGCGTACCCGTAATAGCGATCGTGTCTCGTGGAAAAAGCCGAGCTCTGCATTCATATTTTCGCAGCCGCGACCCCACGAGACGTAACAAGGTACAAATTATTCACCTTTCCAATTGATATTCGGTCGAACAGCCCGATTACCTTCCGCTCATCCCCTCTTAGAAGGAGGCTTGGAAATTACTTATCAAAATTATTTAACTGACCTGTTTAATAAAATTCGCGACACTCAAGAAGACGCGCGACGAAACCTTATAATTTCAAAGGAACGAAGTAAACGATATTATGATCGAAGAATTAACGAACGAGAATTTCAAGTAGGATCCTAAGTATTTTATTGAAGGAACCGGCGAAAGGAAAATTCGCCGATCAATACACCGGTCCTCATGAAATCTTAGAAATTTTACCACAAAATAATGTTAAAATTTTTGTAAAAAATAAACCCAGAATCGTGCATGTAAACAAATTGATAATTGCCTACGTTGAGCCAAGATGATATTAATATTTACTATCTTTGGTTACAGATGTGTTGGTATTGCCAACGTATTATTATTCCAGAACAAAGGGCATGGCTACCTTCCTTAGCATCTTATTACCACCTGCGGTTTACCTATTGCTGTAAGGTTCTGGGATATCGCAAGATTGCCAAAGATGATCCTATCGTTTGCCGGGAATGTTACAATAAACTCCCCGACAACTGTTATAAAAGACGCTTTAATCCTATTCGGTTTCATTTCATTTCCGACGGAACGATTCGACCAAGCATTTCGTGCACCATCTGTTTCGAATCTATGATAACATTCAGAACATTATACGAATGTAATATTTGCCAACGAACACACTTACATTTCCTGAGCACTATAGAAAAAATTGGACAAAATCTCGAAAGTCTTGGGAACCCAATAATTTTATACGTTGACGGAGATGCTTTAATTTGACAAATTTACACTCACATATACATATATATACGTGTGTATATTAAAATGTGCATCCCGACGAATTTCGTATACAAACCTCATCCTCTATTAGTTACCTTCCCAAATATATATAGCGTTAAATGCGTAATAATTATCAGCTTTATGTCCGAAATAACGATAACTGATCAAATTTGCATTAATTTTTTTGAACGTGATAAGCCGCCTAATTTTAGACTATTAATAGGCCACGGACTTATATACGGGCCCGCACGGCCATCTAGGTGCTTAATATGCAGAACTCCGGTGACTACATTAATCAATTCAATTTTGAATTGCGACGCCTGTTTCTGCGCCTATGTTCAATTTATGAGGATTTTTAGGGAGTACTATACTAACGAAATCGCCCATTTGATATTAGATGTTGATGTTCCCAACGTGGTATTACTTTCAATATATGACTCTACGACCGGAGCGGAAATTAGGGTCGGTCCTCCCTTTGATAGGCTGCTATAAAATTTCATTAATCTCTCATTGTACTCATCTTATATATTAATACCTTATTCAATCACTCCACTCTCCACACTATGTATAACGTTAATTATAAGAGCTCCAGTCCGTTCCCGACGGCAAATAACCTACGAGTTGACCAATCGCTTAAATCTTTTCTACTTAAGACCAAAGGGCGACCAAAAACTATTTTATAAATCTAGTAATAAGGAATAAAAATTAACAAAAAAAATTATATATATATATATTTTTTTTATAAAAATATATATACGCAAGTATACCTTTTCTCTCATAATTGTAATACGCACACGATCATATCTTATCATCTAACCGTAATTGTTAAGCAAAATGTCACAAACTAATCGTAATATCTCTACATATCATGTAAAAACAAAATAATAACCATGATGAAAACCTGAAAATGCATGAATTAACTCTTTTGTTTCATTATTTGAATATACATTTCCAAAACCCCACTCAATACCCGCTCATCTTTTCCCTCTCCGCGTAAGCACGCCTTACTACGTTTCTAACCCTCACATCCGCCATTTCTCGACTCCCCAGCGTGACACTTACGCCTTCGTTATGCATCGCCATCTTTCCTCCCTCTTCCCTTTTCCTTCCCTTCTCTTTTTCTCCCTTTCTCCCCCCCCCCCCACAAACCAATATCTGTACCCCAGTATGTACCTCCGCTAACGCACGACCCTCATTAATTTTGTTAAAATTGATCTAACTACTCTATAAAATATTCAGTATTTTACGTGTCAATTCATTTTTAAATTAGATAATCAAGTTGTGAGGCATACACTCTGATTTAGAAATTTAACATCTATGCAACGCTTATGTTATAAGTTCTGATGAATTTCTTATATACATATTATATAGTTACTTAAGATAAACAAATCGTTTTGCAACTAAGGATATTTTTACTATTGATGTATTCTTATTATTACTATTAGTCAGGGTACATATATTGCTTCGCTAGCTAAATTAACAATAACCATAAAATATAAGTACAATCTTTCTCTTAACATTATTTCTCATAACAATCCTCTTGTAACCGATAATTATTAATGATTAATATAACTAATTTTTAATATACTAATAAACAAATCAAACTCGACAACTTATATCGTAGAATACATATTTATAGATATAACCAACCGTGGATTCCCACGCACATATCTATACATACATATGTTTTAGAAATTTACGAGGGAAAGGACCGAACTTTATTATGACGAAAGGTGATGACCATTTCCACTTAATGCCGCTTCTGATCTCATTCACCCCACCTAAATATGCCTTTCTTCTCACTTCTCGCGCTCTCTCTCATATATCATCATTTTTTTGCAATCGTTAATATGCTACTCATACAGATAAAATTCGGATAAGTTAATGGTAATAAATAATAAAAAAAAAAACTATACTGAGCATGCGAAAAAGGAAGTAATAAAGAGAGGGAAAGGAAACTCTTCCCACGTGTAAATCGTAGACCTCTCCCGATACCCAGAAGCATTTCGGTTACGACTAAATATTACGAGCTCCTAAATCACGGAAAGCCTCAAGTTTTCATGTCTTGTTTCAATTTTTCCCTTAAAAATTCACCGTTAATTGTAATATTACTAACAATTAACTATCCTCCAAACAATGCCTTCGAAAATATTAAATATATATATACAATTATATATCATTATCATTAAAACTCTGTGGATAAGATTTTTTTCGGCACGCTTTACTCTAAAACTGTCATCGTAAAACTAAAATATGTCTTTTCTTTACTCCCAATACTACGAAATACTACTAACCGAAAGAACATCGTAACGTACACACATGCGCGACGTAAGGTTCGAAGGGAGAAAGGAGAAAGGAGAAGGAGTCAAGTGACATCGGAATTCCAACGTAAAACTCTGCATAGGTTCAGACAATAGCCCGAGTCACGTATGCACAAGATCCCCTTCTGTATAAAAAAAACTACCCCCATTGCCTAAACCTTTTATCCCCTTCCGACTGCGACTTTCTTCTTCCTAACTCCTCACCTCTTTACGATACTAATTACAAACAACCCTAGGTTGTCAGTGCCTTCTTTAGCGTTTAACGTATTATCAATCATATAGACATATAGATAAAACATTTCTCCTACGTTGTATAAATTATCAGATAACTTAGCTTATCCTATGTTTAGTTACCTTATGTTTAGTTGAGATGTGAAAACTGTCACGTACCGACAAATTTCATCGCTCTCGGTTAAATTTATCTTAACTCAAACTAACATCCGATACGCGGGATCGCTAGAATTTGCTTATCGTCACGTATTGACAAATTTTCATCGCTCTCAGTTGATCCTAAACTAACATCCGATATGCAGGATCGCCAGGGTTGTTTATAAACCTTATAAACAAACCGAGATAAGGGCCTCCCTCCTTCAAAATTCATAGATGGAGGTAATAAAATTTCGAGTATAAATAGGGCTGGAAAAACGCTGTGCATCGCAGTTGAAATCTTAACAAAACCTTTGTCGTAGCTATAGTCTCCCCGAACTTCAACTGTCATCTTTCGTTTCTTTATTCTTACGTTACGACTAATTCAGTACTTTAAACTTGTAATTTTGTGACCAATTATACATAGAATAAAAGGTAATTGATAATACCACTATAAGCTTAGTTATTTGGAATCTGATAGCCGAGTCGGTAATTAATAATTAAACGTTCCGCAAGCAACGGTAATTAGACAAGAGTGTAGCGAAAAGACAAGCGATCGCTGCCGAACAGTAGCAACACACTCTTGACACGACGAGCAATCGGAGAAGAGCGCCGCGATCACGAAGAGGAGGCTTTTATAGCCCTGTTTTCTAGAATAGTCGAGAAGAATCCTCTTTATTCTATCGTTTTGCTGAGGTCGAAAGAGCGGTTTGTGTAATTGTTTACTTTTAGAAAAATAATCTTTTTATTGTTATCGGAACTAAAGTGTATCTCCTCTCGCGTGACCGCGGTGTTTACAATTATCGGGGATTTAACGTAAGCGCTTTCTTTTCGCAGGCGCGGGGTATACGTATACCGGTGCGGCCGAGCGCTATTTTAACGAATATTAATAAAAAATGATGCATGATGCATGTTGCATGTCACGATTTGCATGAGCTTTAACGCAATAATGTTCTTAGGTCTTTCCAGTTTACAATCAGCCGTTCGATTTTCGAACATTCCGCCCGCCTTGCAGTATACCTGCAATCGAACAAGAAGTGCGAGAGAGGGGGCGCGCCTATTCACGCTCTCGCGAATGACGGGCACGTGGAGCGCACGTGCTCTGACGGATTTAGCTCAAGGAATTCCGGATCGAACAGCTGTTTATTTTCGAGCGCGGCAGTATATACGCGTGTCGGTGAGCGCATCGAGGAATACGCGACAATTTGGATTGTGATTTTAACCATGATTGAGTATGAACGAATAGTGGAGTGATAAGAAGATTGCAGCGATGCAAAGAGTGGAATAGTGAGTGGAATGTAATTGTGATTGATGTGAGTTAGTTTGGAACGGTGCAAATTAAGTGTTGATGAATTGACTAATCGCTTTGGGTTTTAGGTGGCAGTTCGTCAGCGTCGGGAAGGAAAACGAGTTTGCTAACGGGTCGGGTCAAGACAGTGGTGGCGGTGCGGACCTCGACAACGCGAACGTGTCCGTCGGCTCCGGAGAGCAATTTGGTGATGCGCGCTAGAGGCCACCTCGTTGGAGCAGTCATTTCGTGACGGATTAAACAAAGTCGACCGACGCGAGCTTCCCGGTTTATTTTGAACCATTTCGGCCGATGAGCCAGCGTGTGCAGATATTCGCGAGACCATCGAGACCAGAAATGATCTTTCATCTTTTGTAGAAGCTGCCACCGGGAGAGGCGCGACGACGATTCCTCGGTCAGCGACGGTTCGGGGACGGCGGAGAGCGCGGAGCCGATGAAGAAATGGCCGGGCGTCAGCGCGCTGAAGTCCTCCGGGTCGTCGGTCAGCGGTTGCAGCGGCCGAGAGTTGAGGCAAGCCTCGACCTGGGAGAGGAGAGTGGCCATCTCCTCGTAGGTGAGTGTAGCTTCTCCTATCACTCTGCGAAGATGGTGCTTCATTGACTTGACTGCCGCTTCCCAGATGCCACCGAAGTTGGGCGCAGCCGGCGGGTTGAACCGCCACTGAATTTGTTCCTGAGCAGCGAAGGAGGCGATGCGACGGCCTTCAGGGTTTGTGGCTGCGAATAAGTCTCGGAGTTGCGTGTCGGCGCCTATGAAGGTGGTCCCACAGTCGCTGTATAGCGTTTGGCATACACCTCGCCGAGCGATGAACCGACGCAAGGATGCCAAGAAGGCGTCGGCCGAGTAGTCCAAGGCGACATCAAGATGGACGGCCCTGGAACCTAAACAGATGAAAACGACAATGAAGGCCTTAGAAGATTTTTGCCCGCGGCCTTTGGCACTTCGCAGCCAGACGGGTCCGGCGTAGTCGACGCCAGTATGGAGGAATGGTCTTCCTGGCGTCACTCGGGGCGCAGGCAAGTCACCCATGAGAGGCTGTGCTGTAGCCGCCCGCCATCGCAGGCATCTAACGCAGCGGTGAATGTGGTTTTTAACGAGGGATCGTCCACGAGGAATCCAGAATTCTTGGCGGATGGAACACAGGGTCAGCTGGGTGCCCCCATGCAACGATCGTCGGTGATGCTCATCGATGACGAGGTAAGTAATTCGCGACGAACTCGGTAGGATGATTGGATGGGTAGCCTGAAAAGACATTTGAGAATGTCGTAGACGCCCTCCGACGCGAATAACGCCCGAATCGTCCACAAACGGGCTGAGCTTATTGAGTGGGCTTCGGTTGGGCAGTGATGTCAGTCCTCGCAACGATTTTAACTCGTCCTTGAAATTTGCAGCTTGGACGAGCCGTACCCAGTGGATCAGCGCGTCATGCAGTTCTTCAGCGTCTACCCCGCCGTCGCGATTGAGAAGGATGGGCTGCCGTCGGCGTTGTCGAAACCACCGGAGACACCAGGCGGTGATGCGAAGTAGTCGCTGCAGGGACGAGTATCGGAGTAGCAGCTCCGGTTCGTCTCCTCGCTTGTCCAAGACTGCAGCGTGCGAACGGACTCGACGTTCTGGTAGCTCGACGTTGCTGGGATCCTCTCCGAAGACAGTCCAAGGGCCGCTCTCCGTTTTCAGCCAAGAGGGACCCTGCCACCAAAGTGGATGCGCCTCAAGATCTCCAGGGAAGATGCCTCGAGAGGCGCAGTCGGCCGGGTTTTCGCGTCCAGGGACATGATGCCAAAGGGCGTCGGGGAGCGACGTCTGAATTTCGCTGACCCGGTTGGCAACGAATGTGACCCAGGAAGAAGGATGTCCACGGATCCAGCCGAGAACCACTGTGGAGTCTGACCAGAGATGAAGAGGCGCCTTTTCAGCTCCGATGAGAGGCAGCGTTTGCTGAACGAGGCGGACCAGAAGAGTTGCGGCTGATAATTCGAGCCGAGGTAAGGAGATTTGTTTTAGCGGAGCAACTTTCGTCTTGGCGGCAATCAGCGTAACTCTATACTCCCCGTTCTTCTCGGTTTTTAGGTACACCACAGCGGCGTAGGCACGGACTGAGGCGTCAGCGAATCCGTGGACTTCCAGGCGGCAGTCAATCGATCCTCCGCCCAGCCATCGAGGAACGTGCAGTCTCTCCAGTTGAGGGAGCTCCGCTTGGAAGCGTAACCAGGCCTTCTCATGGTCGTCCGGAAGAGGAGTGTCCCAGTCGATGCCGAGCAACCAAGTAGACTGGATTAGAGTCTTGGCGAGAACAGTCGTGGGAGACAGCCAACCGAGCGGATCAAACAGCTTCGCTGTCAACGATAAGACTGACCGCTTTGTGATCGTGGACAGCGTTGGTTGGCTGGTGGCGAAGGAGAAGAGGTCGTCGCAAGGTTGCCACCGTAATCCCAGGGTGGCATAACTTTCCCCAGGCAGCCACCATCTTGCCTCTTGCTGGAGGCAGTCCTCGGTAGGTAATGTCGAAAGTAACTGCGGGTGATTAGCTGACCATTTTTTCAGAGGGAAGCCTCCCGCCTTGCAGACCAGAACAAGCTGTCGGAGGATTTCCTTGGCTTCCTGGAGGGTAGAAGCTCCAGACAGGATGTCGTCCATGTAAACGTCGGAGCGGAGGGCCGCGGCTCCCTCAGGATGACGATCGCCTTCGTCCACGGCGAGCTGATGCAGCGTGCGGATGGCCAAGTATGGAGCGCAGGCTAAACCGTAAGTCACAGTAGTCAGCCAATATTCCTTGATCTCTGTCTCCGAGTCCTTCCTCCACAATATTCTTTGCAGGTTCTGATCATCGGCATGCACCAGGATTTGCCGGTACATTTTTTCAATGTCGGTAGCAAAGACGAACCGGTGCCTTCTCCACCGTAGTAGGATGTCAGCTAGGGCGGGAAGCAGGTTGGGTCTCGTCATCAGGAATCGGTAGAGACAGTCGCCGTTGGCCAAAGAGCTCGAACCGTTGAAGACCACTCTCAACTTAGTAGAGGCACTGCTTTCGCGCAGGACCCCGTGGTGAGGAAGGTAGCAGGTTCGCTGTAGAGATCCAGTAGTCGACAGGGGAGCCGGCTTCATATGGTTGAGGTCCAAGTATTGCTCCATGAAATCCACGTACATGCTGCGGAAGGTATTTTCTCGTTCTAATTTTTTGCTGACGTGTTGCAGGGCCCGACTGGCGGCGCGTCGAGTGGCGGAGAGATCAGGCAGAGGCTCGATCGTCGGCAGTCTCACCACATATCGACCGTTGGCTGTACAAGTGTGATGTCGCAGGAAGTGATCCTCGCACTCCTGGTCAGTCTTGGAGAAGAGTTGTAAAGGCCGTTGAAGCTCCTCCTGCTCCCAGAAGCGTCGCACCAGGATAGAGACGTCGTCCTCAACTCGGCATTGGTGAGTGTGAACGTGATGTCCGGTAGTCGTCTCACCAACAACGCCTGACAGTATCCAGCCGAGCGTGGTTTGTTGAGCTATTGGTTCATGTCGATTTCCCTTTTTTAGGCCCTGACAGAGGATCGAACCGTAAACGTCCGCGCCCAGGAGGATGTCAACCGGATCAGCTGAGCGGTAATCAGGGTCCGCGAGCTCCAGACCCTGAAGATGAGGCCAGTTATGCCCGCCGCCGTTGTAGCCGCCGGCGTAGATGGTCAGCTTCGGCAGCACCAGGGCGTGGACGGTGATGGAAGGGCAGCCACTAAGAGACTGGAGGGTGAGTACCACTTTACCTTCTGAGACGCCTGTCTTTTTCCCGCCGACTCCATACACGGAAACTGAAGCGGAGCTCCGTGCTAGCCTCAAGCGTTGGGTGAGCCTTTCCGACACAATGGAGGATTCCGAGCCTTGGTCGACGAGGGCGCGAACGGACTGCCAGGAACCATAGCGATCGCATACGCGAACGCGTGCCGTGGCCAAAAGTACCGCTACAGGCGTCGGAACCGGTCCCTTGCTGACGTGCGCCGTTTTGACGGTCTCCGATGAGCAGTAGGCATCATGGAGTGAGGTATGATGCCGGTCATTGCACGCAGAGCAGTTCTTCTTGGAGGCGCACTCCTTGGTCTTGTGTCGGCCGAGACAGTTTCCGCACAAGTCGTTGCCTTCGACGTGCTGCTTGCGCTCTGAGGCCGTCATTTTCCTATAAGCGTCGCACAGCATCACGAAGTGATCACCCTGGCAGGCTGAACAGCGTCCTCTAGTGTTTCCCTTGAGCTCCTGTGAGTCCAGCTTACGAGCATGGTGCGTACGAGTCGACCTCGACTGACTCCCGCTGGCCTTGTTGGACGAGACGTCGATCTTCGTCGAGGGCAACGACTCCAGAGTATGAAGGCGTCGCTCAAGGAATCGCTCTAGCAGAGCGTATGGCGGAGGCTCGTTCGTTTCACTGATGGAGGTCTCCCACTCGCGGCGAGAGCAACTATCGAGAAGGTCAACGGCGAGGTGCACAAAGAGATCTTCAGTACTCCCTACTGGCCGGTCGATGCTCGCCAGCGAGCTGACCGTAGTCTTGATGCCGTGGAATATCTTCCTAAGCTCAGTAGAGGATTCTCCCTTCATCTTTGGCAGGCTTAAAAAATTCGTTAAATAAGAGCGGGTTAGTAAGCGCTTATTTTCGTAGTAGTCACTTAGAGTTCGCCAGGCTCGCTCGTAATTGGCTTCGGTAGAACTGAGGTCTCTGATGAGAAGATCTGCCTCGCCCTTGACACAGCTCTTCAAGTAATGCATTTTTTCCACAGGCTTCGTCGTCTTATCCTGGCCGATGAGGGAGATGAAGAGGTCTCGGAAGGCCGGCCAATCCTCGTATCTTCCCGTAAAGGTCGGCAGCTGGATTCGAGGTAGCGTGGTGCGAGGCGCCGATGGTGATGTCTCTGAAGTAGCAGAAGCAGCGGCGCGTTCCTTCTTCTGGAGAGTACGCCGCATCTCCAACATCAGGCCCTTGTTCACTAGATAAGACTCTTCGCCGAGTGAAGGTATGTCCTGTTTAGCATAGACGTCATGCTTTATTTCGTCTACACGCTCAGCCAAGATATCATTCATCGCATCGAACTTCTCCCACAGTTTGTCGAGATTCAGGAGCCGGGCTTCCACTGCACCGAGTGTGATGTTGGCCTCGCCGAGCTTACGAAGGTTATCGTATGCGCGCGAAATCTTGCCATATAGCGCGGTGGCGTTGGTAATTATAGTCGTTGTGTCTGCCATCTCTGACACTGTCTTATTTTCAGATGCACTGTTCACCTACACTGAAAAACTCTACGCTTCCGTGGCACCGGATTCACAGGAGGTTCTGGAGGATCCGGCTCGAAGGACCAAAAATAATGTGCGCGACGGAAAGCAGGATAAGGATGTCGGAAGCGAGAAGACGGCGAAGCACGACACTCGACAAACACGTATCGTTTAATATAACTATATTTTAACTAAAAACAAAGAAAATTACAAATACTGAAAACCGCACAGAATTTACAAAAAGTTAACGGATTAGGAGAATCCAAAAGAAATAGCCGAGTCGGTAATTAATAATTAAACGTTCCGCAAGCAACGGTAATTAGACGTGGTAAAGAGAAAAAGACAAGCGATCTTTTTCTAACAGTAGCAACACACTCTTGACACGACGAGCAATCGGAGAAGAGCGCCGCGATCACGAGAGAGGAGGCTTTTATAGGCCCGTGTTTCTAGAATAGTCGAGAAGAATCCTCTTTATTCTATCGTTTTGCTGAGGTCGAAAGAGCGTTTTGTGTAATTGTTTACTTTTAGAAAAATAATCTTTTTATTGTTATCGGAACTAAAGTGTATCTCCTCTCGCGTGACCGCGGTGTTTACAATTATCGGGGATTTAACGTAAGCGCTTTCTTTTCGCAGGCGCGGGGTATACGTATACCGGTGCGGCAGAGCGCTATTTTAACGAATATTAATAAAAAATGATGCATGATGCATGTTGCATGTCACGATTTGCATGAGCTTTAACGCAATAATGTTCTTAGGTCTTTTCAGTTTACAATCAGCCGTTCGATTTT